CCTTTCTGCAAGGGTAAGTGCTCATTCTGTCTAGAGGGCTCAAATAAAGCTGTTTTACCTTTCTGATCCCAAACCCTGTGGTGGTCAGCAGGGCCGGATTTACTCCCCCTGCCACCCCAAGGCCAGGTTCCACAATACGCCCCCGCGCTGCCAAACCACCCTCCCCATCAATTGAGAATGGCAACCAGATGGCAGGGTGGGGGGGGGGGAGGCGTATTGTGGAACCTGGCCTTGGGGCGGGGCTAGTTTCAATTTTTTTTACTGTTTCTTTATTTTTATCACTTTTTATTTTTTTATTCAATTATTTCTTTTTTGTTGTTAATTTATTTAATTTTTTTAGATTTTTATTCATCTTTTTTATAGTTTTTATCTTATTATTGTTTATTTTTTATAATTTTCTTATTTTTTATCTTTTTGTAGTGGCAATAAGGATGATAATATAATCTATAAAAATAGACTAGATCATCGTAGACTGAAGGATATAATCTGTGTTTAGACCTCTTGCTGCCCTTGGAACACTTGATTGATGTTGACATTTTCTACATATTATTATTATTCAGGATTTATATAGCGCCAACAGTTTGCTCAGCGCTTTACAATATAGGGAAGACATTACAATTACAATACAAATCAAGACAAGATGGTAAGGAGGGCCCTGCCCGTGAGTGCTTACAGTCTAAAAGGGAGGGGGAAGTGAAAAATGAGGAGGTAGCTGTGTGGGGATGAATTGTTTGAGAAAGTGATAGTTCAGTGCTCAGGTTGGTGGGATAGGCTTCCTTGAAGAGATGAGTCTTAAGGGATTGCCTATAGGCAGTCAGAGTGGGAGATAGACAGACCGGTTGGGGTAGAGAGTTCCATAGGATGTGAGAGGCTTTAGTGAAGTCCTGGAGGCGAGGATGGAAGGAGTTGACGAGGGAGCTGGAAAGCAGGAAGTCTTTGGAAGAGCGGAGGGGACGGTTAGGGTGATATTTTGAGACAAGGTTTGAGATATATCCGGGGGCGGAGTTGTGGATGGCTTTGTAAGTGGTTGTTCATATTTTGATTTTAATCCTTTGGGCGAGTGGAAGCCAGTGTAGGGATTGGCAGAGGGTGGTTGCAGACACTGAATGGTTGGTTAGGTGGATGAGTCTAGCAGCAGCATTCATGATAGACTGAAGGGGGGATAGCCTGTGTAGTGGTAGGCCAATGAGGAGGGAGTTGCAATAGTCAAGACGAGAGATAACAAGGGAGTGGATGAGTCATTTTGTGGTTTCATTGGTGAGGAAGGGGTGTATTTTGGAGATGTTATGAAGGTGAAGGCGGCAGGATTTGGATAGTGATTGGATGTGGGGAAGAAAGGAGAGGTCCTAGTTAAGGATGACACCTAGGACCATCAAATCAGGGGAGCCTACAGTAAGCACACTTTTTTGATGTGCACCATATAAATACAGTCACTACAATCAATATTTTACAGGTGCAGCACATGTAAGCTGTAACTTCTTCCATTTGCTCTGCAGACCACATGATCCAGGACACGTCTCACTGTACTAGGAACTTGGATGGAGAATTCTTTGAGAGTGCAAACTCCAAAGGCAAATGGCTTGAGTTACTAAATAAGAAAGAGTATTTTCAGAGTTCTAAATCCTTATACCCACAGGCTGTGCTAAATGCAGTAGAGTATCTAATAATAGTGTTCTTCCTGCCATAGTCCCTCTGTAGGCAGCAATAGGTATCCATGGCCTTGACAGTCACAGGGTTATTCACTAAAGGGTGAAGAGTTTGGAGAAGGCCGGAGAAGTGAACAATCAAGGACAACATAGCTGATTTGGAAAAATACTCCAATTCAGCTCCCTTTCCAAATCAGCTATGTTGTCCTAGATTGTTCTCTTCTCTGCCTTCTCCAAACTCTTCACCCTTTTGTGAATAAACCTCTCAATGTTCTGGCCACCTCCTCTACCGTCACATACTGATCAGTGTCGCTTAGTGCACATATTTAGAACTGTTGCTTAGCGTCAGAACCGCCTGCCGAATGCCCCCTTACATCTGCAGTGTGGACAGCACCTCAAATAAAACAGGCAATACTGATCCATAGCTCGCTGTTTATTATTGGACTGTGTTGGCTCATACAGGGCCCACTTGATTTCTAATGTGACTGAAAAGTTTTCTTCATGGAACAAGCACCCGCAGACACCTCTGGACCTATTTTTTTCATACAAATCACTCCAGACTAAATATATGCAGCCAACTATATTGTGCATCTATGCCAGATCTGGGCACTCTATGGCCTGCATCTAGTCCTTGGTCTGTCCAGCTAGCAGTGTGCACGGACTGCTCCCTGACCTGGGTTCATTTATGGCTAGCTGACAATGGATGCATCATCCTCCAAGGCCAGTGTATCCACTGCAAGCCATTGCCCAGCGCAGGTCAGTGATCTGGTTGTGTCCAGACCAATTGTCTTTAGGCCTTGGTTGCTAGGATTGCTGGTGTCCTAGCAACCAATGACTTAAAGGGTCCCCTTCCTGCACAGTAATTAGTTGCTAGGACCACTGGGTGGTCCTAACAACCAGTGACAAATATCTTCCCACCCCCAGTTTTACCTGCGTCCTCCTCCTCCATCCTCTTCTGCAGCTCCACCTCCCGGCTCCGGCCTGTGAATAAAACAAAAAACTATGTGCCACATACTTACCTCATGTAGCACAATATTGTACAATGTAGGGACAGTAAAGGTTCATTAAAGGAGAACTATGAGGTGAGTGCTTTCCACTCACCTCATAGTTCTAGCCGACCTGTGACAATGAGACTGTCACAGGTCGGCTCAGTAGATCGGGAGGTGAGCGAACACATACCGGCGTTCGCTCACCTCTCGATCCTGTCACGGCTCTCTGCCGTGACAGGGGAGGGGATGGATTCCCCCCTCCCCGCTCCGATCCGCCAGCGCTGACTGGCGGAACGGACGGGGGAGGGGGCGGGTACAGCTGGCTCTGCCTCTAGATAGGCAGAGCCAGCTGTCAGTCACGCAGCTGGGCGGATCCCGGCATAATTGTCGGGATCCGCTTCAGCTGCGGCGTCTCAGTATACCACGAGCTGTAACTCGCGGTATACTGCGGCGTCTCAGTATACTGCGAGCTGCAGCTCGCGGTATACTGAGCTTAGGGTGACGGGAGGACGCTAGTTTGTGTCCTCCCGTTACCCTAAGGAGAACTATGGGGAAAAGCCCTAACCCCATAGTTAAGGGCCCGTTTGATTAATGTACGGTATCACGCAACGCACCTCCCATGCGTTACGGTGCAGCAGGTGTGTTGTGTTACATGCATTACTGTTTTCAAGTGCAAAGTAAATGCCGCAATTCAAATGAACGCACCTGACACACTGTAATATATGTACTGTGTGCATTAATCAGTTTGGCCCTCCACAGCCATCCTAGTTTCTCATGTGGCTCTGAGAAAAAATGAATTGCCCACCTTGACCTTTGCCCTTAATCTCTTACCTTGATTTTTACTGATAAGAACTTACTTTTATAAATAGAACTCTTCTATCACTTTGGGGTTTATTCACAGAAAAATGCATAGCTATTCTTCCAGGGAAACTGCAATGGAGCAGAATTCTAGAGAACACTGGAGGGAATGAGCAGATAAATGTAACCATTACTACTGCGAGATCCTGTAGCAGCAACGGTTACATTGATATGCTCATTCCCTAGAATTGTTACATTGTGATCTGTGAATGGAGATGTGACAACCCACGCACATCTTTAAAATGAAAGTATAACTAAACCCAAACACCCTCTAATGTGTCTTGTGGTCCTTAGAGGACAAAGCGTATCTGAACCCAAAGCAAAAATGTCTTATATATTGCAGCTTGCTGTTCCTTAGGTGAGGTGGCTGCATTTGTTTTCATTTTCAGACTCTTTCCTTCATTTTCATCTGATGATCCAGCCAGTGACACACTTCCTGTCCTAGGGTGACCACACACACTCATTGCACAGGTTTAGGACAATAGAAACATAGGAAAACAGGCAGTTAGGACTACGGAACCTCATCCTCTCCTATTCTACATAACATAGAGAGGTGTGCTTCTGTAGTCCTATTGATAAGAGCGCAGTACAGACAGCACAAGAATTAAAGGAGAACTATGGGGTTAAGGCTTTTCCCCATAGTTCTCCTTAGGATAATGGGAGGACACAAACTAGCGTCCTCCCGCCACCCTAAGCTCAGTATACCGCGAGCTAAAGCTCGCGGTATACTGAGATGCCACAGTATACCGCGAGCTACTGCTCGCAGTATACTGAGATGCCTCAGTTGAAGCGGATCCCGACAATTATGTCTGGATTCGCCCAGCTGCGTGAGTGACAGCTGGCTCTGCCTATCTAGAGGCAGAGCCAGTTGTACCCACCCCGTCCGATCCGACACTCGACAGTCAGCACTGGCGGAGCAGGGAATCCAGTCCCTGCCCTGTCATGGCAGAGAGCCGTGACAGGATCGAGAGGTGAGTGAACGCCGCTATGTGTTCCCTCACCTCCCGATCTACTGAGCCGACCTGTGACAGTCTCATTGTCACAGGTCGGCTAGAACTATGAGGTGAGTGAAAAGCACTCATCTCATAGTTCTCCTTTAATCAGCTTACAAGATTTTTAGCTGTATCAACATGTATTTTAGGTACTTATTAAACAGACAGAAAAAAATAGATAGAATTAAATTTCTGGTATGTGCAGCAGAGCAATGACTTGAGCAGCTCAAGTCTGATAAATTGGAGGCGATCTGAAGAGTGGCTAGCAATGGTGTCAATCAAACTCAACGTAGACCGCTTGTACCGCACATCCTCAGGTGACAACGTTGAATGTGCACAAGCTCACACACTCTTCCAGCTCACACAGCGCTCTCCTCCTGTCATGGTATGTCAGCTGACCTGCACTTCCTATCCCTGTGTTCACCATTGCCCCTAACTCCGCCCTTTCCACTGGTCATCTCAGTCACATGACGGTGACATCGCCGCGCCCCCTTTTCCCATCTAGAAGGCAGTGCAGTCACGTGTAGTCAGTGCGGGAAGTTGGAAGTGATAGAATGAGCGAGGAAGCGGCGATCGGGTAATACACTCACTACATCATCAGCACGTTCTAGAATCTCCTCTATTATATATTATATTTCACATTAGAGGGGGGAGGGATCCTATGGCGGATAATCACCGGGCACACGGGGACTGTTGGTGTTCATATTCTGTACCCTCTATGCCAGGGCTGGCCACATGACTAACACGCACTGTTGTGGAGTCCTGAGCTAATAGATCATATTGGTCTGGTCCTCCACACCAGTCTCATGGTACTGTGCAATGCACATATTGTGTGTTTCACTGCCATTCAATTGAGTGACACTCCAAATGCACCTCCTGGCTGCAATTCCACTGACTATACTGCAATACCGTGCATGAAACATAATGTACCTGCTGCTCTATATGCATGCAGTGGTCTTAGCAGCCAGTGACTGCAGAGAGGATGACCCCTGGTGTCATTTGGTTGCTAGGACTGCCTAACACTCCTAGCAACCAATGACTGCAGAGGAGGACCCATGACATCATTGGTTGCTAGGATGCCAGCAGCCCTATCAACCAAGGACTGAAGAGGAACAAGGTCTGGACACAGACGACTTGCTGACCCGTGGTGAGCTATGGCTTGCAGTGGATGCACTGGCCTTGGAGGCCGGTGCATCCACTGTCAGCCAGCCATAAATGAGCACAAGTTGGTGATCGGTCTGTGTGCAGACCAGGGACTGGACATGGCCCATGGGCTGTAGAATGCTCAGGCCTGCTCTATGCTATAGTGTTATGATTGAAGACATATTCCGCCTTTTACATTAATGTAATAAATACATCAATATTAGTAGTATTGAAGTGTATTTTATTACATCTTTGCATTGAAGCCTGCATAGCACCAGAGCCACAATCTGTGTTGCAAGTGCAATGCTTGGGTTTCTGCATTGTTTACTTTCCAACCATAGGCCTGTATGGAAGTATGGCCCTTCTGTTATGGGATGAGGGAAGTAATCAATGAATTACAAGTGCGTTAAGGTCTGCACACCTGTGTTTCATTGAGACTTCTGTGTGGCAGCAGATGGGACTTGTAGTCTTTCCATTTACAGATCCCTGTGAATGGCTCAGGCTGCTGTGTGGGAGCAGATGGGACTTGTAGTCTTTCCATTTACAGATCCCTGTGAATGGCTCAGGCTGCTGTGTGGGAGCAGATGGGACTTGTAGTCTTTGCATTTACAGATCCCTGTGAATGGCTCAGGCTGCTGTGTGGGAGCAGAGTCATGCACTGCTCCACTGATTTGAAAAATCTAATGGGAGAAGCAGCCTGTGACTCTGGTTTGGGTAAGGGGTTTAGGGAATGTGATCATGTTACACCCCAATGCCTCATTCACACCGGCACTCCTGTGTTTTAGCTTTTCTAAATGCAGCAGAAGTTATCTGAGATTTATTTACAACGTTTCTGCTTCTCAGATGTCTACTTCCCGCATTGAGATGGTTCTGCTTTAAAGTGGGATCTGTCGTGTTTATATGCCTTCAGAAGGTCAGTTTGGATCTTAGATACATCAGACTTCTATTTTTCCTAAATGCAGGTAACCTGGCTGACCCCATGTAACCGCAATGTGTCAATAAACCCAATAAGAAGTCTCCCTGTCTAAAATTGCCTGTGTGAATGAGGCCTAAATATGGATATAGCAAGGAACACGGAGAGGAAGGCGGACTGATCCTTTAATGTGTGGCTGTTGCGCTGTAAGAAGACTTGGGCTATGTCAGGACATGTCTTGCTACATTTGTGCTAGCTGGGTGTGTTCCTTCCACCTAGCAGATTCCTCATTGACGGCACACTGCTGTGATGGTGATGCAGGCTTAAAGTAGGAGTAAACGTTCAACTTTTTTTTTCAATATGCAGCAAAGTATGTTTTACATTTTTGGCCAAGCACTTAGACATCATGGGTCCAAGTAGCTCCAACTCTCTCAGTACTGCTTCCCTGAACTTCCCGTACAAGACCAGACGGAACTGGGAATAGGGAAATGTCCAGCTAGTAAGCTTGGAGAAGGGAGCCGAGCACTAGCACACACACAAGGGTGGCTCCATATAACCCTGCAATAGAAAAGAGCCACCCTAAGGCCCCATTCACACTGAGCGATTCGCAAATCTGGCGTTCGTTGCGCGATTTGCATTGTGAGCGATATCGCGCAAATGCTTGCATTGAGCAAGCTAGAATCGTGGCAAAATCCGCTCCAAAAAGGGTCCTGCTGTAGCGACGCACGACCCGCAACAGCGACGGACAGAGCCCCATTGCCATGCACTGGAGAGCGATACCGCGCTGTAAATAGTCGCGATATCGCGGGAATTACCACGCGATATATCGCTCAGTGTGTACGGGGCCTAAAACAGGATATCAGGACCAGTACTCGGGACCAGAGGATTCTACAGGAAAAAACTTTCATAGATCAGCAGCATCCATTGTAAGTGATTTTTATCAGAATTTGAAGTGGCATAAAAACCTTTTGACTTTAATATCAGTTTAAACTGGCCATACACTACACTAAGGATGCACCGAAATTTCTGCCGCCGAAACACATCGGCCGAAAATTGAACTTTTGGCAAAATGCTGAAAGTGCCATCTTTCGGCCGAAATTGCGGCGCATCCCTGGTTTCTCTCCTCCCCGCCGGGCGCTGCCCTGTGTCCCAGCAGGGAGGAGAGAAACTGTCACAGGATGCCGATCAGTGCGGGGTAGGAAAGCGATGTGAGCGGCAGGTGTCTCGCCTCCTGCCCTGCTCAGTCTTCTGTCACAGATCGGGAGAGCGGCAGTGTGAAGGCGGAGACAGCTGACACAGGAGGCCGGGCTGGTGGTGTGGGGGAGGAGTCAGCTGTCAGAGAAGATTGAGCTCTCCTCCCCGCACCGCCCGCTCAGCCTCCTGTGACAGCGAGTCAGGATGGAGAGCAGGTACAAGCACTCAGTGATCGCTGAGTGTTTGTAAATAGTTGAGGACATAGTATGTTTACTACATCCTCCAATTATGAATGAATGGGAAGTGATCTACATCACTTCCTGTTCATTCATGATTGTGGTTATTGTAAACACACTATGTCCTCATGTTATGAATGAACAGGAACACTCAGTATAGAGATTCCGGACTCCGGTCATTCCGCGGTCCGCCATTTAAGCTGCAGTGCAACACACAACTGCCGGTGTGTGTTACTAGGCACAGTGCTGGTAAGCTGATCCCGGCACATTGCGTGTGGGGATTTAAATTATTTTTTTTTTGATTGTTAGAATTCCCCCTCCCTTTTTACGTACACGTGCGTGTGTTTCTTTGAATCAAAAGGCTGGGGCAGCAGGGTTGGTTTCAATTTAATTTTTTAATTTTTTTCACTTAACTATTGCTTTTGGAAAGGGGCTAACAAAGCCCCTATGTGACAGCATCTTAAGATTGTCAGGTTCTTTGTGGAGACATCAAGGGTGTCTACCATGCCCTCCCAATACAGATGGTCAAGCAGAGGTTTGTGTTTGATCACCTGTTTACCCGGCACTTCAACTGGGTTTTGACAGTTCTAAAGCCTTCTCTCCATCTAGACACCCAATGGTGGAGGAGGGACCAGGCCCAGTGTGGCAGGGCTGGCTGTACCAAGTAGGCAACCTTGCCTGATGTCATTGGTTGCTTCCTAGTGGTCCTAGCAACCAATGATCAAAGTAAAGGTGGGGGGGGGTGGCTGCCCTGGGTTATAGCTGGCTGTCCTAGACTATACAATGACTAGTTACATGAAGAGATTTCTCCGTAAAATATTTTGACCAGAGCTGTGCACGTTCGATATGCATGTAGAATAAAGCCTTCTAAACATGCTTTATCCAGAACCTCACCTGCATACATTATGTAAATGTGTTCATTAGTGTTATTTACAATTGTCCTGGGATGTAATATAGAGAGTACCCTGGGAACTGAGACCTGACCTGAATCTAATTGACAGGTATCAATATTTACATTGTTTACCATGCTTATTTATAAGGTTCACTGCACTCCTCCAATTTGCATTTTGCTTTATAGGCAGTCGGTGGATGCAATGTGCAAAAAGCGGGAAGATTACTTAGAATGGTGTGAATATTTTATGGCTGTCGCCTTTTTATCGGCTCAGAGGAGTAAAGATCCCAGTTCCCAAGTAAGTGCATTGTTTTCATTATCTTTGTAATATTAGTATTGTGCTCCTTTCCTCCTATACTCATTGAAAGACCCATGTGGAGGTTTGTTATAGTGGAGCGTGTTCATAGGGAATTATTACATTGGTCTGTTAGGTAATGCTGAAAAGCACAGAAGATTTCTGACTGTAATTGTGTAAAAAGAAATATTTTCCTAGTACACTGGGGAATAAGGATGATGATGCTACCATGTATGTTTTCCTACTAATTGTGGTATGGTCTTGTTTACTTCACTATTACCCCTCACTAGTGCTTGAATCCACTTTCTTGGTGGTTTGTAGAGCTGCAACAATTATTCGATAAGTCGATTTAAAAAACAGCAGTAGCTGTTTTCTTGGAGCGCTACTGGGACTGCCCCTAAGGCCTTGTTTACATTGGCTTGTATAAAACTGTGCGTGCAGCAGGTTTTGCAGAACTTCCATCACCCTTTAAGAGAAGTAAAGCCAAACTAATTTTGGCTTTAGTTAGGGCAGCAACTAACCGATTTATGAGAATAGTTTTCAACTATTCTCATCAATTAGTTGGTTGGATCCCCTAGTTCTCTCCTCCCATGCTGGAAGGAGTGCTGTATATAGAATTTGGGGATAAATATGGAGCAAAAGCGATACCACACCCAAAGAGCAAATGTATAATAATGCGGCAAAAAAAAAAAGGGCCTTCATATTGCGGCGTATAGTCAAGACCTCCCTTATAAAGATACCCGCAATGTGGATTATTCATCCAAGAACCACATAGAGTTCAAAAAATGCGATATCATGATGTAATGATATCAAGGGGTGCCAATAATCCTCAACACGTTCCACGCCCAGTATAGGGGCTTCTTCAGGAGGAAGGAAGAGGATGCTCTATATAGATATACATGGAGGTAAGTATATATTATATCCATATTATGTAACATAGTAGCATAGATTAAGATATTGATACAGTGTATCACATTAATATTTAAAGGAGAACTATGAGGTGAATGATTTCTACTCATCCTCATAGTTAGAGCCGACCGGTGACTAAGAAGCTCACAGGTCGGCTCTATCGATCGGGAAGTGAGCAGAAAGATGCACCAATCCGCTCACTTCCTGATCGTCTCCCTGCAGTGAGCGGTGACTGGCAGTCACTGCTCCCCGCAAGGATTCCCCCCACCCTCTCCGATCCTCCAGCGCTGAGTGGCGGAACGGATGGAGGAGGGGGTGGGCACAGCTGGCTCTGCCTCTAGATAGGCGGAGCCAGCTGTCACTCAGGCAGCTGGGTGGATCAGGACAGTATTGTCGAGATCCATCCCGGCTGCGGCACTCTCAGTATATAGCGAGCTATAGCTGACTATGTACTGAGCTTTGGGCCAGGGTGAGGAGGTTAGTATATGTCCTCCCGTGACTCTAAAGAGAACTATGGGGGAAAAACACTTACCCCATAGTTCTCTTTGAATGACCTGTTACGTTGGTGTGACCATTTGAAGGAAGAAGTGAGTTTTTAAAAGCCAAAGGGAAAATCCCTCTAATGTCACCAGTTTAGCCAACGGTTTGGAGAAAAGAGCTGAGGTACCCAGAGGTTCCAAATACCAAAAATAATATTGAAGTTACCAATGGACATTTGGTCCAAACCAAAAGGCAACTACATAAGCAGTTAATAAGCCATAGAAGATAGAAGTTGGGACAACCCCCCCGCCCACCCCACTGTATTTTACCTTGCTTTTGAGTATTGCTGTGATCTCCACAGAAGCCAGCTTGTAGCATCATTTCCAAACTTAAATATTGCCGATGCCAAAATCTTAAATATTGCCGATGGCGTTTGTAGCAATCCTGTGCACTAGTCACATGATGCTCGCCCTTTCGGCTGCCAGTGCACATGCGCGTAAACGCACACATTATGTGCGTGCGCGGAAATTTGTGGAATACGCACTGGCTACGTGCCCCAGAGCCTGGGATCTGAGCGGAAATGAAGCGCTACAGAGATGCATTATCCTAAATCATAGTCCTAAGGACAATATTGCTAGGCATCTGATGACGGACCACTCAGTGGGATCAGGGAGCAAATTGCTCCAAAATTGTCCCATGGGAGGCAATGTATTTGATGGTTTTCCCAGGCTCTGGAGCACTGTGTATCCAAGGAAAAAACATGCAAATGGAAATATAAGAAGAAAACAATTTTAACTCGTGAATGTGTTGAAATACACCATATAGCAACATTTATACCCAATTGTCAACTTCTTCCTAAGAGGGTCACACCATGCCTAGGTCATGCCTGCTATAATTTTTAGATTGAACATACATTTGATCATAGACATAATATGTATGGACAGACTTGCTTAGTATTTCGCCATTATTATGCTGTACAGTCCCATCATAATTCAGGATCTAAAGACATAATTCAGTCTAATTCATATAATTAAACCATAGAAAATTATTCAGTACCGGCAAGTCTGAAGATCTTTTTCTTAGTTGAACAAAGAAAAGAAACCAGTTTATAGCTAATCCAATATCTTGTCATACTAAGTGATAACAGTCCAGTACATCTCATACGGTAGAGAATAAATAACAGTAGCATGTCTGACAATCTTTTTACTTTTTTGAGAAAGGGTTTGTAGCTCATCATTTTATTGAGACCGGGGCTAACCGTGGCTCTAAAGGTGCCCACACACCTTGCGATAATCGTACGATAATCGCGGGAAATCCCGCGATCGTACGATTATCGCAAGGTGTGTGGAAGCTGTGCGACCTCTACTACTGTAAAGTCGCACAACTTTTATCTTGCGAACAGGTTCGAAAAATCGTACTATTCTCGGCGGGTGTGTAGCGCGTTCGTAAGATAAAAGCCAGGCGGGCCGGTGTGCGCAAGCCCTCACTGCCCGTTCGGCATTGCGATCATCGCAAGTACGATCTGCCTGTCCAAGATAGGCAGATCGTACGTTTTTTAATTACCTTACAACCATCGCAAGACAAAAGTCTTGCGATGGTTCTAAGGTGTGTGCCCAGCCTTCGATTATATATCCACCGTGTCTCGCATTGAAGTATTCTTCTCTCAAAGTCACCCCCTCTTGAGTTGGGTCTGACATGCTGGAGAACAAAGAACTCCATTGAGGACGTGTTAAAGAGATGATACAACACATGACGGCTAATGGGGGTCATCATCTTTCCATTCGATCGAATACATCCTGTATGCGTCTGCGGAGTGCCCTTGACGTCTTACAGATGTAGAATGCTCCACAGGCGCATGCCATCAGATACACGACTCCTGTTGTACTGCAATCTGCATAGTAGTTGGCAATCCACCTTCTACCATTGGGAAGTAAAATATCACCTGATTGTTGTACCCATGGACATTGATTAGAACTGTCGCATTTACAGGTGAAACTCGAATAATTAGAATATCGTGCAAAAGTTCATTTATTTCACTAATGCAACTTAAAAGGTGAAACTAATATATGAGATAGACTCATTACATGCAAAGCAAGATCATTCAAGCCGTGATTTGTCATAATTGTGATGATTATGGCTTACAGCTCATGAAAACCCCAAATCCACAATCTCAGAAAATTAGAATATTACATGCAATCAATAAAACAAAGATTTTAAACTTTTTTTTTTTTTTGTATTTTTAAATGAAGGATGGTATTTAATTTTTTCTATCTGATTAATCGAAAAAATTATTAGCAAACTAATTGATTATGAAAATAACCATTCGTTGCAGCCCTAGCTTTAGTCCTCTTTTGGGTCACAAGAGTATATTTACTAATGTATTCGGATGATCCAAAGTCGGCATATAGCGGCCTACTGCCGCCTGCTATTTGCTGACAGCCCAGAGCTGCGCTGCAGCTGTGAAAGATCCTAACAATATTGTCGGGATCCACCCGCTGCCTGATTGACAGTTGGCTCTGCCTCTCTAGAGCCCGCTGCGCCCGCCACCTCCCCTGTCTGTCCCATGAGCGGTGGAGGAACAGAAGGGAGTGGGCAATCGCTACAGTGGGTAGTGACTGTCAGTCACTACTCTCTGCAGAGAGAAGACCGTGAGCGGTTGCATGATCAGGATTTAGGACAACCAAATTAATAAGGGGGGTGGAGGGTCTCGGGTATCAGGAACGTCTACAAAAATAAAGACTGTTCTCCTTAGAGGAGAGACACTTAAGAGGTGACTTGATCGCAGTTTACAAACTCATTAATGGGGACAGCAGTATGGGATCCGCTTCAGCTGCGGCGTCTCATTATACCGCGAGCAGTAGCTTGCGGTATACTGAGCTTAGGGTGACGGGAGAATGCTAGTTTGTGTTCTTCCATTACCCTAAGGAGAACTATGGGGAAAAGCCTTAACCCCATAGTTCTCCTTTAAGCTGCTGGCAGGCTTGAGTAAGTGTTGGCACTACACGAAGCTTGTTAAAGTCTTTTAGCAGCTCAACACTTGCATTAAAATCTGTATTTAACAGCCCCAAACTGGAACTGAATAATTCTTTAAAGCTTTGGTGCCCAGCACGTGGCCTGTGGCATCTTTGGCTATTTCGGACACCTGAAGCACTGGCAGAGCCTGACATGTCTGGTACCATGGAAAGTTTGTTTTCCTCTTCAGGAGATGTGGCTGATTTTTCTGCTGTCCTGCTATCTCCTCCTTAGGCCCTATTCACACCTAGGCGTATTGTAATATGCGCGTCTGTCAGTTTGAGGATGAATTGTTCCACTGTGCCTGCAGCTACAAAGGTCCTTTAAAAATATGCAAACATTTGAATGCCCATAGTCTGGCCACAGATTCACTTTAAGTTGGTGCTTTTGTAGGATACAAGAGCCTGCAAAACATTTGTATGAAAGTGGTTACAGCTATCGTTTTACCAAACCCCAAAAATGTATATTGGACTCTCCTTGGTAATTGAAAAATGTCAGTGATGTCATAGGAAATTTTCCCTGTTCTCTGCATATTCTGCCCCTTCAGATGGCTGTATTCTCTCGTGACTGCATGGAAATCAGATGAATGGTAGATATACTGTAGATAGTACTGATAGTAGTCCCTTTCTCACATCAAAAACAAGCTTGCTATCCTAGCACGCATTCATAATGCAAGCATGTACAGCAGTGTCTTTCATGGATTTACTTGAGATACTATAACTCAAGAGCGTTATCTTTAAGGACACTGGTCTTTGCACATAGCAATCCAATTTCAAAGTAGTTTTGGTGTTTAGAGCATGAAATTACATTAGACATTTAAAATAAAAACATGTAATGGTTTTTAAACAATTGTTTTAGTAATATAATTTTTTTAATATATTTTTTTTTCCTTACTGCACACTAGTGCTCAAAATTAACTCAATCATTTTAAAGATTTCTCACTCATATGTAAGCAGTTCTGCACCCTGAACATTTTTAGATTGCTGGAAAGAGTATTCAATTAGGGCTGCAACAACTAATCGACATAATCGATTATAATCGATGATTGAAAAAGTTGTCAACTTTTTCAATCATCGACTAATCGGCTTCCGATTGGTTGGCCCTGTTCACGGCTCGACACATTGCGCGCCGCATCTCCTCCCCACCTCACGCTCGCCACTGCCAGACCCGCCCGCCTGCATCCACGCTATTGCTACACTATACACTACACTATACACTATTGCTGGGATTTGTTGTATTCCTCTATAGCTGGCGGTATTCTGCATTGCGCTGTATAACGTACTATTGCTGGGTTTTGTATTCCTCTATAGCCGATGCCATTCTGCATTCATTGCTGTATAATGTTACATAGTTAATCAGGTTGAAAAAAGACACAAGTCCATCGAGTCCAACCTACTTTTCATTTCACTATATTGCACACAACTTTTTTACTTCCACCATCCAAGCTTGCTCCTGTGATGGACTACAATCTCAATACAAACTAGTAGTCCATCACTGGAGCCATTTTTTAAAATGTATTTTATTTTTTATCCGATTAATCGAATGTAATAATCAGCTAACTAATTGATTTTGAAAATAATCGTTAGCTGCAGCTCTATATTCAATCACTCACTCATTCTATTTTCATGGAGAATTTCAAATTGATCCTTTTTAATGCTGTGAGACCTTTTTCCTTGCACTGTAATCCATTTTGCCCAAGTGGAAATCCTTCAGTCTGCCTATTTTTTTTAAATATATTTTTCTTTTGTTTAGGTTGGAGCATGTATCGTAAATCCCGAGAACAAGATTGTTGGTATTGGGTACAATGGGATGCCCAATGGCTGTCCTGATGATGTTCTTCCATGGGCAAGAAAGGCAGCGCATAACCTTGATACAAAGTACCCATATGGTAAGAAATTATATTATTACAGGCACTTACTTTCAAGCTTGTTCCTTCTTAGGCCTTGTTTACACCTGTGTGCTGGAAAATGCGTGTAAAATTGCGCACAATTTAATTTAAAAAAAAATAATTATTCCAAATGTGCCTGCTAAAGCACTGACACAAATATATACCACGAGGGGGATTTATCAAGCCTAGAGTAGACAGAATCTGGTGCAGTTGTCCATGGCAACCAATCAGCTTCTATCGTTAATTTTCAAACAACTGAATAGAGAAGCTGGTTGGTTACTATGGGCAACTGCTCCAGATTTGGTAAATTCCCCACTGTGTATTAGTGCAATGCCTTTATCAAAAACAAAAAGGCACGCACTTTATTACTTTGCTAGCAGGTTTCAGCAGGCCTTTAGAGTAAGTCTCCACTGTCCTTCACCACTGTAGTACCAACGTAAGTAAATAATCATCTGGTACTAAAGTGGTTAAATGCAGCAGTCTTGATCTTGGTATTGTGTTTTCAGCCAGCACCTGGCTTTCACATACAAGGGATTGGGTGGCTGTAGAACTGCTCAATCACAATATGCATATGAAAAAAGTGGGTCAGAAATGTACAGAATGCAAAAGCATCTAGAAGCAGGGCAAATGGCATTCAGAAGCAGATCTGCAGGTCAAATGCTCTGAACAATCTTAGAGGTATCTCAAACTGATGTCAAAAGTAGGAGCATTTGCATTCACCATTCACACTAAGCGACATACCTTCGAAGCAGATCCGCGCGGCCGGGGTGGCACGACTGTTCGGGGTGACGTTGTGGTAACGGTAGCGCGACCTTCACTGTTGGGCTGCAGTAAAAAAAAAAAATAGAAATCGCACGCAATCCGCCAAAAAAAGGGTCCTGCAGGCGCGACCGCGAAGGGCGACATGGAGCTGTACATTAAGACAGCTCCATTGAAAATCATTGGCCGGCGACTTCTTGCATATAGCGCGGCAAAAATGCGCGTAATCGCGGTGGAAATCCGCTCAGTGTGAATGGGGCCTAAAGCCCATAGACTCTGGACCTTGTATTTTATGTAATGGCTGAACTATACTGAAATGAAAAATGTGCCTCGCTGGAGGGATCGTGAGGTCACCTTTGCATAGTTACTGTGGGCAGAAGCTGTGTTTGTGTGTCTGCGCGATATGGAGGCACTCACGGGTCTTGCAGCGGAGACAAGTCAAAGCGTCAGCAATCAACATTTTATTGTCAACATTTTGATGGAGCTCAGTTCATCTTAAGACGCTGGCTTGGTAAAGATGGCCGGAGCTCCATTGAAACGTTGATAACTCAAAGCATCCGCATTTTATCTCCATTGCAAGACCCGTGAGTGCCTCTGTATCTACTTTGGATTTGTATAGATATATTTGTGGATCTGCACCCGGGCATTTATCTTTAGAGTGTGGTGGCTACCTCCTGGCATGCCTCCGTGTCGGGATGAATGAAGTCCCACAAGCATGCAGAGGTATCATTCTGGCCAATCAAGAAGACAGAAGATTCTGAAGCCGGAAAGAAGAGATCCGCGTCAGAAAGGGGGTGTTCAGACTTCGCATTGCTGGAGCAATGGCGAATATAGTTATACTTGAGGTTGTTACATTTGTGTACAGGTCCACTTTAATTGATGCCTAAAATTAGAATCATTTTTAGACTGACTTTATTTCTTGGTACAAACTTTAAGAAAAACAAGAAGTGCACAATGGTTAATAGCTTGTTAATTTACACATTCCTGATTTAGATTGTGTGCTTTGTCTGCAGGTCTCTAGTATTCATACAAAGTGTGTTGCAAGGAAGAATGATTGTGTGTTTTACTACAAACTCGCACATGCATAGTCTAAACCTTTTCCATTTATATCTTGACTTGTTCTTTTTGTTTCATGAATCCGCACTGTCTTGCATATCAAAAGTAATGGCTGTCAGTGTTATAATGGTCTGTAGAGAAAGACCTGACGTGTCTGGGAGCAGTGTTCAGTTTATGTGGAAGGTCTACTCTGCTGAAAGCTGTGTAAAAAAGTAAACCACAAATGCCTTTTATATTTCTTTTTCCTTTTTACATCAAACTCAGTCTTTTTCTATTATCTCATGATCGAGTGCCTTTCCATTTCTTCTCTCACGCACGATAGCTTGATGGATGCTTCAAAACAATCCTAACCAAATTTTGTCAGAACTGGGGGAGGAAGGGCTTTCTTGCCCTTTAAATAAGCACTTCTCATTTATTCTGCTTCCAAACTGCTGAAATAGAATTTGTGCTCCGGTAAAAATGAGCTTATTCGTGATGTTCTAATATTTCACGTAGAGCCCAGCTGCTGCCCCTTATGAATCTGCTATGTAGATGAAATGGGATTTTGCAACTTTCCAACTATAGGTTTTATATTTTTTATTTCTGGAAACTTCTTTATAAGTTAAATTGTGTTTGTCTCCAGGAATTGGCCACACAGGCTTTGTGAGCCTAATGATATGCACTGTGCATACTCTGATGAGTATTTCAGTGCCTTTACAACAGAAACAGATGATGCCATGGAGCATTTGCTAGTTCAGCAGCAATCTTTATTTAGAGTTGGTCTACTGCTGAAAACACTTCTATATAATGTTTACCTTAATTACATTCGGTATTCTCTCAGTGGTAAATAAGTTGAAGCTTCACTCTGCTGCTGTTTTGAGTATGTGTTTATGTAAATATGTAAAAAGCGGAATAACTTCTATAGAGTTACCGCAAATATATACTTTTTGCCTTGCAGGATTATATCAGAGCAGTAGAAAATGTGCCTACACAGGAAGCTGACCTCTTATGGGGCTTTCCCTCCAATTGTGACACGCAAGCATCTTGGATATGCTACAACTTAGGATGCCCACCCCAAAGAAGTCAGTGGTCTGCCTTCAAACACTGTTAAGGCAGTTGTCTCTTTTTTGTCTCTCCAGCTTGCTCTCCTCTGTCTGCTCCATTACTGTCATCCACTGCTCCATCGTCCCAACTTTGCTAATCTCTGTGTCTAATGCAGCACTGGTCTCCCTTCCTGTCCTACTCTACTGGTCCTTGCTGTTATCCATTCCTCTTCCAGCTGCCCGTTGTCCACTCTGAGCTGGAGTTCATTTTGCTCATGACCTGACCCCACCTGCATTATTGGATTTTCTCCCTCTTCCATTCCAAGACTTGATCCAAAATGCTCCTCTTCTTTTGTTCACGGTGGTTCTGCTGGCTGCCTCCTTATTTTCAACTCCCTCATCTGCTCTCAAAAATGCTTGCTGTACTCTTCTGGTCTTTACCCCCCTATTCTACAAGCATTTTCTCCTCACTCCTTGGTCCAGGTATAATCTTCACTCTCTCCATATTTGGCCTCCTGTTTCCTTCCAAAGCGATCAGTCCGCTTTAGTTTCATGCTGTTCCCTGATGATCTTTCATACCATCCCTCTGCTTGGTTTACACTTCTGGTATGTCCTTCTTTCATCCATCCTCCTTTCTCCTTGCTAAGCTTTGTGACCCTCACCAAAAACTCTTGTGCCCTCTACCATCCACTTTGTGCACTCAACCACCACCAATGTCTCCCTCTTAGTTCCCCTTGATACTCCTCCACCAGCTCTGATACCGCCAGACCCCACATTGGCTTTCACCTCCATAATCCACTGTCGTACCCCCAACCACTACTTTTTGTAACATTTCTTCCTCCACTCTTGGCCCCCCTCATCATTAGATCTACCAAACTCTGTAAACGATAGGTGACTTCTGTTTGAGTTATGTGGCCAATTTTAATATGCAAGGTTTTCTTTACATTTGTCATAACTACAAGCAAGTGAATTTGAAGAAATGCTAGTTGTCTGCACATATCTCCAGAAGCAGTTTAGAGAATTTTGAAAGATCTTTCTTCTATCCCTGTAAATGTTAGTTTATAATTTAAGCATGGAGTCATGCTGCCTGCATCTTTCAATGCATTTTGGTCACCAGTAAGAGGTGCTCGCTTAACATTATGTAATGCAGCAGGGGTGTGTTCTGGTTCTGTGCTTCTCCTTCTCAAAACTAGAAAACTACAGCTGCAGTTCAGGGGGGGGGGGGGC